ATCTATGAATGCTAGGAATGCCTTTTTTTTCTAGATGATATCTGTTTTTGACAGGGATGAGCTGGTATGATGGATTTCCCTATCTTTTCTCTCTAAGGCAAGATATTGTCCACATAATCTTTGTAAACATGCACAAAATACTATTTTTAGGAACCAAATATAGAGCATTGATTTCATAGCCATTACTCAACTTTTAAAATTGCCTTTGGAGTGTTCTTATTACAATATATCTTGGCCTCAGGAAAATACTTAATATATAGTTGCACCTAATTTTCTTTCCACAACACGAGTGCTCCCAAAACATACCTTCCCCAGAGCTGGATCATTTTTATTCAGGTTTGTAGTACTCACTTCTGCTTTAGGATGTATCAACCACTTTTTTAAAAAAACAAATGTCAGCAAAAATAATAGACAATAAATGTTAATGTATTACATGAATAGCAACTCATGAAAATTATTCTTTGGCAATGTAATAAAAAATCAAAATGGGATATTAAGTTAAAGATTATGTCTTTATAATTGATCCTGCTAGATCATTCTACAATGACAGTTCTGTCAAATGTTGTAGCAACTCATCTGCAATGTTTGTAAATATCTTTATTTCTACATAATCATCAGCACTTACAATCAATCTTTATTTTTCCAGTCTAATAGATAAGAAAAACGATTTCATTGTTTTTTTTTCTTTTAAAGATTTATTTATTTATGCATACAGAACTGGGATACAGGCCAGAGGTACAGGAGCGGTGAAAGGATTCACCAGAGACAGAGTGGGGAGCAGAACAGGCTGATTGATGGATTACACTATTGAGGGGTACAATGGCCAGGTCAGGAGAGGTCTGCCACACCACTTGGGTCACCTCCTGCGGGGGGACAGAACTCATGAAGTGGCTGCAGCTAGCTTCATAGTGCTGTGCTTTAACCTATTGCATCACCAGGGAGAGCCCATATTTCATTGTTTTGATTTTCACTTTCCTAACTGCCAGTGATGTTAAGCATGTTTGTTAATTTTGCATTTCCTCTTCTGTTAATGACCTGTTCATATACTCTGCCCATTAAAAAGAATTAGGGCCTTCCCTGGTGGCGCAGCGGGTTGAAGCACAGCACTAAAAAGAATTAGTTCTTTGTTTTTGCTAAAAATCAATTTGTAAGATTTCAGTTAATAGTAGGCTTACTAGTGCTAGTTTGTCATATATGCTGCTAATATCTTCCTCCAAATCATCATTTTCCTTTTGGTTTATGTCTTTTGTCTTACAGAAAATTTTATGCTTTACATATGTCAATCTATTATATGTAAAGTACGTTACACACACATATATAGATTCACTAAGACGTTTTAGTGTGCATGTGTGTGTTTATATGACATATATTCATGTGTACATTTGTATGTATAATGTAACTTTTAAAATATTCTGTTATTTAGAATATTTTACATGTAACAATTAATTAATATGATTTCCAGGCTTTAAATTTAACTAAGGATCCTGAAGTTCTCCTTAATGACACACTAACGATCATATTAATGTTGAAGTAAAGTTTACCAGAATTTATACAATTCTAAATTGCTGAACATCGTAGTAACTATACTGATTTCAGATAGAGCATATTTCAAAGGAAGGAAAAAAGTTATCACGGGTAAAGAGGTCATTACATTATGATAAAGGGGTCAATTCTCCAAGAAGACATAATAATCCCTAATGTGTACATGCTAACAAGAGAGTGTCAAACTATGTAAGGCAAATTTTGCTATAATTTCAAAGAAAAATAGATGAATCTAGTATCATAGCTGGAGAGTTCATCACCTCTTGATCAGAAATGGACAGATCAGTCGGAAAAAATTCAGAAAAGACACAGTTGATTTTGCCACACAAAATCAACTAGCTATAATTGGGAAGTACAGCGTTCACTAATCAACAAGAGTAAGATACACATTCTTCTCAAGCTCACAGGGAACACTCACTAAGCTATTCCACATTTTGGCCCATTAAACACACTTTAACAATTTAGAAGGATAGAAATAAAATTTGCTCTCTCACACTACAACTGATTTCTGTTCTCAGAAATCAGTAATGGAAAGGTAATTGGCATACCCTAAAATATGTAAAGATTTAACAAGACACTTTTAAGTTACACATGGGTCAAAAGTCTCAAGAGAAATAAAAAATATTTTGAACTAAACGAAAATGAAAATATAGTTTTTCAAATCAACGTTTGCGAGATGCAATGAGAGCAGTATTTAGAGGAGCATTTATTGCATTGAATGTGAACACTAAAAAGGAAAAAAGAGGGCCCGGCCTGGTGGTGCAGCGGGTTGGGACGCAGCACTGTAGGCTGGCCGCAGCTGCTTCAGTGAGAGTTCGATCCCCGCCCCAGAGGTGATCCATATGGCACAGCAGACCTCTCCTGACTAGCCCCCTACTCCTCTCAGCAGTGTACTTCATGGATATGCCTGTTCTGCTCCCCACTCTGTCTCTGGTGAATCCTCTCACCACCCCTGCACCCTTGGCCTGCACCCCAGTTCTGTATGCATAAATAAATAAATCTTTTAAAAAAGTCATTTCTTTAAAAAAAAAAGGAAGAAAGATAAAATAATAAAGGAAAATAGTAAAGACAAGCAAATTAGATCCAAAGAAAGTTAAAGAAAAAATATGAATTAGAGTAGAAAGTAATGAAATTGAAAACAGGAAATCAAGAAAGAAAATCAACACAAAAACAGATTCTTTGATTTAGAAATTGGCCCGATAATTATGCCTTTTCTCTTTCAGTTTTTGTTTGAAGAGTTTAACCTTAAAGGGTTCCATCACAAATGTTTGATAAAACCTCAGGATATCTTTTTTTTTTGACTGACTTATTTTCAAAACTACATACAGAAATGGGGTACAAGCCAGAGGTGTAGGGGCGGTGAGAGAATTCACCAGAGACAGAGTGGGGAACAGAACAAGCCGATTGACAAAGTACACTGCTGAGGGGAGCAGCGGGTGGGTCAGGAGAGGACTGCTGTGCCATGTGGTCACCTCCAGGCAGGGGATCGAATTCACACTGAAGTGGCTGGGCTAGCTTGCAGTGCCGCGTCCTTACCCGTTGTGCCACCAGGGAGGGCCCTAAAATTAAATAATTTTCATTTAAAATTCTTGTATTCTGGACCCTCCCTGGTGGCACAGCAGGCTAAAGCACAGCACAAAGAAACTTAAGCCACTTCCGCACGAGTTCGATCTCCACCTGCCCGGGAGGAGTCCACATGGCGTGGCAGACCTCTCCTGATCCGCCCGCTGCTCCCCTCAGCAGTGTACTTCATTGATCTGCCTGTTCTGCTCCCCACTCTGTCTCTGGTGAATCCTCTCACCCTTGGCATCGCTGACCTGTACCCCAGTTCTGTACAAATAAATAAATAAATCTTAAAAAGAAAATTCTTGTATTCTAAGAATGTGACTTGATAAAAATCAAAGTTTAGTGTTAAGTCAACATTTTTTCTTAATATTGTCATTTTTTATGCTTCAATATTCAACAGTTGAATTTAGGCTACATCTCTGTATTTTTACTTAAAAAGGTTTTTGCATTTTTATGTGAAAGTAATCTTTTTTAAAGATGTATTTATTATATCTTTTTAAAAGATGCATCATTTTTAAAGATGTGTTCATTTATGCATACAAGAGCAGGGGTACAGTCTTGAAGTGTGAGGTTTGAAAGGACTCACCAGAGAGATAGTGGGGAGCAGAACAGGCAGACTGACTGAAATACACTGCTGAGGGGAGCAATGGATGAGACAGGAGAGGTCTGCTGTGCCATATGTGGGCCACCTTCCTGGCTGGGGATCAAACTCATGCTGCAGTGGCTGCAGATAGCGCCATAGTGCTGAGCCTTAACTTGTTGCGCCATCAGGGAGGACCCAGATTCTAGTTTTAAAATAAAGTGAAGTGAGCCTTAGAAAAGATAAGTTGAAAAGTGACAACGATTGAAACATTAAAGCATGTAGCCAAGTTGTTAACAGTTGTTTCCCACTGGGAATGAAGGATTGGAGGAAACAAGATTAGGTAGATATTGTAACAATGCAATTATTTTATTATAAAAAAGATGTGTAACATAATATTTGTATAATAATTATGTCTATGATGTAATGATGGTATATGTATGTACCCTCACACATACAAAAATTGCAATCGTGTCATGAACTTTACAAGGAGCCATTAGCCCAGGAGGGAATGAATGAGGACATGGCCTGTAGGATGAGTCTTGAGAAATAGGCAGGGTTTAGGCAATAGCTACTTGGGAAACAGGGATGAAGGTAAAGGGAAGAGCTTGAGCAAAAGGGTCAAAAATGGTAAAGTGGCAGCAGGGAAATACACAACTGATCTGGAGGATCACTTTCCAGAGCAGATTGGCTGGAATATTTGTGTAAGGGGATGGACAGTTTACATCAAATAGCAGCGGAAACTGGAGTCAGCCGTGTTTGGTAGTCAGTATATTTCTTGATGAATGAAGAATGATGGGATGATGGCCATGTGATGGAGTCTCTCTTTTATATACTAAGCAATGAGGGGGTGGGGGAAGGACGGCCAGGCAGTAAGGATTCCATTTGGAGAAGAATTGCGTTTCAAGAACAAACTGAAGATCCCCATTCCCACGCAAAGCCTCAGCTAGAATGTTTGCCTGAAGAACAGTAGCAGAAGCTCTTTAAATGGGCACACTCCCGCCTCTGCAGACACTTCCTTTTGATGACCTTGGCTGATCCCCAGCATTAACACTTGCTGAGAGCTACTTCCTTCTACTACGTCCACTTCCTACTCCTAGGTTCTTTCTAGCATCTGTAATTTCCATTCCACTTAGAACAAGACTCCTAGAACCCCTGGCACGCCCTGGGGTCCACCTTCTCGTCCGCTCCTTCACCCTCCGAACGACTAGAGGGCGCGCTTCGTCATCGGCCCGCCTACTTCGTCCCTCTCCGCGCCGAGCTAGGCCACATCCTCGGACCCAGAAATCGCGTCAGAGTTCCACGTCGGCCAATCAGAAATGTCCATGTACTAGCGGGGGCGGGGCTGTCGAGGTAGGGGAAAGATGGCGGCGGGGGCGAGGTGAGGTGTTGGCAGAAGAAAGGGGTACGGGCGCGGGGAGCGGGAGAACGCAGAGATGGCCCGCGCCGGCCGCAGTGCCGGATAAAAAGCCGTCGCGCCGCGGGTGTGGGAGGGAGGAAGTGGAGGGCGCCTGGGCGCCACGAGAGCATGACGGGGCTGTACGAGCTGGCGTGGCGGGTGCCGCAGGCTCTGCTCTGCCTGAACCGCACGCTCACCTCCTGGCTCCGCGTTCGGTTCCGCACCTGGATCAGGATCTGGAGGCGCTGCTGCAGCGCAGCAGCCGCCGCGGTCCTAGCGCCGCTCCACTTCACGCTCCACAAGCACCCTACCGTCGGCAAGAACCGCCGTCACCACCGGCACCCGCGGTGGAGACCCGGCCCGGCCGCCGCCCACCCCCGGCTGCGCTGGCGCGCGGACGGCCGTTCTCTGGAGAAGCTGCCTGTGCACGTGGGCCTGGTGATCACTGAGGAGGAGCAGGAGCCCAGCTTCGCGGACATTGCGAGCCTCGTGGTGTGGTGTGTGGCCGTGGGCATCTCTTACATTAGCGTCTACGACCACCTAGGTGAGCTTGGGGCGCGGGAGGGGGACCTCACATCCTGCAGGTGTACCGGTGGCACGCCTTTCGCCGCGGCCGCACTGCTCGCCGAGTCAGCCTGTCCCGCTGACCAAAAATGCAAATAACTGTGCTATCGCTTTCGAGGAAGGAATAAGCTTTATTGAATCTACGGACACCCAGCATTCGAATCGATCACTTGCTGTGCATCTGCAAAGTATCTCTTATTCTTTGTAATGCCCCAGCAAGGTGGATGGTGTTTGTATACTGTATTTTATAAAGCGAGATCTGAGAATGAATAGCATTCACTTGATTTGCCAAAGTCGTAAAGTTAGTAATAGGGGGCTGACATTTTTAACCAGTCTCTTTACTTCAGAGAGTGAAGTTCAGGACACTGTTCTTTCTCTTTTTTTTTTTAAAGATTTATTTATTTATCCGTACAGAACTGGGGTACAGGCCAGAGATGCGGAGGGAGAGAGGATTCACCAGAGACAGAGCGGGGAGCAGAACAGGCAGATCAACGAAGTATACTGCTGAGGGGAGTAGCGGGCGGGTCAGGAGAGGTCTGCCACGCCATGTGGGCACCTACGGGGCAGGCGGAAATCGAACTCATGGCTTTAGCTTCCCAGTGCAGCGCTCCAACCCGCTGCGTCACCAGGGAGGGCCCCAGGACACTGTTCTTAACTTATGGTATGGTTGGGAAGGATTCTGCATAGCTTTGTGGTTGAGACCAGGTAACATGACAAGCATGTGAGACAGATAGACAGAAAGAAATATGGCCACCTTCAGTATCAGGAGATCTGGGATGGTGTGCGATCCGTGATCCTCAGTGACCAGTACAGTACTTGGTATAATAATTGTCCTCCCCTAGTTTTAATTGAAGGCATAAAATTCAATACCTAATGGAGTGGCTACCAACCTAAATTACTGTGTCTTTTGGAATGTTATATTTAATTGCATGGACTCTTAGGCTTGGGGTGAATAGACAAGTCACATAAATGCTATCTTTAATAAGTGTTGGTTATAACTACTATGAAAAAAGAGGTGAGAAATTCTCCGTGGAGCAACTTGAGAAGTCCCTGCAGAGGTGATGGGATTTAAGCCCAAGATTGAAGAATGAGGAGGAGATTAGATTGGGGAAACTTTAAAATGTCAGGTTTGAGTTTCAATCAACATCTGAGCATATTGCAATTTCCCTAGAGATAAAGATGTGATAAAAGAGATTTAGGAGTATTGTTGAAGAAAAAATATATATATAATTTATCCTCTGTTCTGTCACTTAAATTACTGATGTGCCCCTCAGAAACTACAACTTCACTTTTACCTTTAAGTATTTGTCAAATAGGTAGATTTGAGTGCTGTGTTTTGGCAGAAAAAGTTGGTGGAGGTTGGACAGTAACTTTTACAGGTAATAAAGTGACCTTTGATTGACCGAACACTTTTCTTGTGTCTTGTGAGGAATATGGTGACTCAGTAGCCTGTCCTATCAAATGGTGATTTACACTATAGGGTAAAGTTTAATATACTCTGGCGAGTTTTATGGAACTTGCCAAGTAACTCAGCAGACCAATAGACAGAAATCATGAGACAACATTTAGAAGGCAACATAATCTTTTCTTAAACCAATGCCGCAGAAATATAATCTGGGGAAAAATTAAGTGAGCAGAAATGGAAATTAAAGTCATTAAGCAACATGGTGCATTGACTTACAAGTGAATCACTTTTTAAAGCAAGTACCTTTACCTTCTGTTTGGGAGCGAGATGTGTAAGTGAGTAGTTTAACTTGGTGGCTTTGTCTACTATCAGGGATTATAGTATTGCCACACTTCCTTGTTCTAGCAGTTCCTGTTAGGGAATTGCTGATGTGATTCAGAACTACCCTATGTTATGTTCATTCTGGGGGAATAAAAGGAGGATTGTTAATGAAAAGAAAGAAGTCAAGTTAACTAAGTATTGACAGATAACCAAAAGGAGTTTTCTGTGAATGGACTTAGGACACTGTTTCCCACTATATAAGAAATATTTATTTTTAAGGGATGGTTGTTTGAAATAATAAACTTTTGATTTACCCTTCATTGGTTTTGATTGATTGGTTGACTCATTTAACAGGTGATAATGGACATTTATTAAGTATCAGGCACTGTTCCTGGCATAGGGGTACAGCAGTGAATAAGATAGAAAAAAATCTCTGCTTATTGAATTTATGTTTTAGTAGAATATGATAAAAATTAGAAATGACTAAAATATGTGGCATATATAATAAGTGCAATGAAGAAAAATAAAGCAGGGGAGGAAAAAGGAATGTGAAAGGTCATTGGTGATGGAGCGGTACATTTAAAATAGGGAGGCCACAGAAAATCTCATTCACTTTTGAGTACAGTCCTGAAGGAAGTGAGCAGCAAGCTTTGTGGATATGGTAGCAAAAGGTGTTCCATTGCAGGGGACATAGATTCTGAAGTTTTCCCATGAAAACTTATTTAAGCCTGTTTCTATGGAGACATTTATTTATTTTTAAAAAGTCCTATTGATGTACTTAAAAATGCTACTGAGTACATATTATATTATAAAACACCTGGATACAAAGAAATACAGGAAATGGTGTCTCTTTGGAGTTAAGATATTTCAAGTTAGGGATATCTACTAAAAATTAAGTTAGTGTGTTAATGTTAAATGAACATCACATTTTATTCAAGGAGGGAAAAGCTATTGCTATACTTTTGCATACTGACGTGTGACCCTAACACAAGTCAGGGTGCTGTATTACTTGTCTTAAAATCAAATATTCAAACTTTCAATTCCTTTTCATGAGTGAGGATGATCTGGGTGAAATCTTATTATTGCTTACTGTAAACTGAAGTGCTCTAGAATAAGGCATTGCCTTCTCTGTGACAAGTTAGCAACAAGACAAGTTGCTCTTTGTAGTGTTAATTTCATTAGTTGTATATCTGTAGTATGTTACTTATGAAATAGTTTTTGGCTAAAGATTTCTCACCCAAAATTTTACAAGATCTTCCCCAGCACATTTCTCACTGTTTTATATACCTTTTGCTGCATCGATATTTAGGTTACTCAGTGTTCTCTCCTCCTGGAATGGTCTCTTCTTTTCCTGTCACAGGCTCTCTGCTAGTCATAAGGCTATCTAATTCATCAATCCTGGCAAATTCATCCTGTCACCTTTTGACCTATCTTTGAATCTTCTCAGAACTTGGTATATCTCTAAATGGACTTCTGTTCTTTATTTTATAAAGTAATCATTTGTGCCTGGATTTTTTTTTTTTTTACTAGATTTTAAACTCTACAGATGCTATTTACTTCCATGTTTTAAAAAGATTTTCTTTATTTATGCATACAAGAACTGGAATGTAGGCCAGAAGTGCAGGGGTCAAGAGGATTCACTAGAGACTGGGGAGCAGAACAGAAATATACTGGTGAAGGGAGCAGTGGGTCACACAAGAGAGGTTTCCTGTGCCATGTGGGTCAGCTCCCTGGCTAGGGATGGAACTCATGCTGCAGTGGCTGGTGATAACTTGATAGCACTGAGGCATCCACAGGAGGCCCAGATGCTACTTGTATTTTTGCTTCTCCCCAGTGGTATTTTAGTGTTACGTGTGTAATGGTTAGTCACTGTGTATTTCTGCATTGAAAAGAAGGGCTGCATTTCTTGTAGGTAAGAATAATAAACTGAATTTTATTATTTTGTGTCCCAACATGAATAGCCAGAAGCCTTACAATAGAGGGAGATCAACATAATTTGCCCTAGTTTATTCGCTTGGCACACTGACACAGATGCTGTTGGAAAGTATGATTTCATTAAGTATTTCTTATGTGGGAGGAGTTGTAGAAGTGTTAAAAATCTAAATATGATGTAATTATATTTGTTATACCAAACAATATGAATTACAGTACTTCTATCCCCTCTTGTAAATGAACATTCTATGCATGATCTTCACATTTGTGCAGTTCACTTCTGTACAGAATTTACATTTATCTTAGCATCCTCTGGTATAAAACACTCCCTCATTTTTCTTTTCCTTTTTTTTTCCCCTGACAGAGGGCCAGCTCCCTACCTGAAGGCTCTGACTGATATTTGTGTGTCCCTTCTGACTGTTACTTTCTTGGTAGCCACACTAGATTGGTCTAGTCCCAGTTTTGCTCTGTCTCTGACAAGCTTTATTCTGTTTTTATTCTTTTGAAAAGATCTCATACACCAAGTCTTATTCTGTTTAAACATAATACTATCTATGAAAATAAACTTTTACTAAACAGTAATAACTGTTGAATATGTAGTGTGTACCAGATATTATACAAAGGAGTGCATTAAATTCTTTAGAAATCAGGAAACAGACTTAGGAAGTCAAGAATAAGTATCTAGTAAGAACCAGATTTAAAACTTGAACCAGATTTTATTTCACAGCATTTATACTTAACCGTTATGTTATACTGACTTCCACTTGTAAAAGAATGTTACCACAACACAATCACTTTTAGTAGAATATCTGGTTATGTTGGGATTATGTGAAAGTCCTTTTAAGGTGGCTCTTATCTACAGGTAAATAGTAACAGAAAGAATTTGTAAAAGATGTTAAAAGGCAAAAAGAATTTTCCTCATACCTTTAATACAAACATTGATTCAGTGAGTCATAGCACATGTTTTATTCTCTTAAGCTACTAAACTGTATGGAGCTCCTACTCTGTACTGAGCTCTTTTTTGTCAGGTCATCAGAGTATGTGAAGACAGTCTCAGTTTTAAAATGTTTAAAACATGCAACCAGAAAAAAACTTATGTGACTTGTTTAATTTATACATCTCTCCTGCTAAAGAGCAGGAATTTCAGAGACAGTTTTCATTCCGTTATATATCCTGTTTCACCAAGACACATGTCCTGTTTGCTTGTTACACCATACTAGCTGTTGTTCTGTAAAGTAGTGTAGGGCTCTCTCTTGAAATAAAAGTGTTTAATAGCTTACAGGATTTATTTTGTTATGACTACTTAAGTCATCTAAAATTTT